ACACTGTACCTGTAACACAGGTAAACTTCAAAGTACTCGTACATTATGTACAGAACAAAAACAGTGTCTTGCAGGCATAGTGTACATGTAAATCATAAAGATGAACAAAGAAATTGACTGGAGCTGAATTTGAACCAGCAACCTCTGGAACACCGCATCAGCACTATACTAATAAAAGCATATTTGTTAAAAGCATCACACTTCATACATAAATGGCTTACTTTGGAAATGACTGGATATCCCACCAATATGGAACTAAGTGGCAGTAAGCATGAAGGTGTGTACCAGTACATTTACATGTATTTATAAGGAGTGATATTGATAGTCATTTCTTTGACCATCATTACAGTACACCTAATACAAAGATGCCACTGAAAGGTTCTTGCTACCCAAACTACATGTACATGTAACCATGGATCTTTTTTTCTTAAGATTTGTATAACTGCATAAACACAATATTTAAACATTCCAAAGGCTATTCATGGTGTGGACTACAGGAGACAAAGTAAAAGAAACATGGCAAAACTAGGTCAAGAAAAGTGGCAAAAGCCATATTAATCTGATCACTGACCTTATCAAATCATGTCGCATCATCTCTTAATTAGCTAATCATTATGAAATTGCATCATTCAACTACCTACCTTGTAATATCATACACCAACAATGCTCCAGCAGCACCTCTGTAATAAGACCTTGTGATTGACCTGAATGACTCCTGGCCAGCCTAGACAACATAGAAACACACACTGATATTCATCACACATTGCACAGACAGTGTTTGCTTTTACGTAAGGTCAAATAATGCAAACACGCACCCGTATGTATATGTGTAGTCATCTAAGAACTCTGTACTCTTAAGGAAAGCATAAAGGTTAACAATAACAATGGTGTGTGGAAATGATTAAAATAAAGTTTCTTATTTTCAAAATTTGGATCTTTAACAAAATTATTAGATAAGTTAATGTACAGATATAATTTAACATGTACATGTACAAGTATATAAAACCTGCACTCTACACCATTACATCACACTAACAAGCTGCGCATCACACTGGTAGTTTGACCACTAAAATAATATTGTGTTGTGAATCTTGAGCAAAAAGCTGTGCAGTTTTACACTTTTAGTGATACATTCTCCCCGTTTTTTCACACTGCCTGTACATGTACATTATGTATGTCTTAATATCAATTTGGAATTTACTGAAATAAGTCCTTACATTTGTTACAAAAAATGTGCATATTAATCAAGTGTGCTAGGAGAGGTAAAATTGGTAATATGCATGTACCGGCATATATGCACACTTGGCATCCAAATACACTGAATAGGGGTACATGTACACTGTCCATACCCTGCCAGGAGAGAATGTGTATACATGTACCTATCAAGCCATACAAATTAGCAATTATGATAGGTCCATTGATTTTATTCAGTAGTCACTGCAAAGAACATATGACACAGTCACTCCAGATGGTTGAAAGTACACAGTATGACACACACCACGGTGGTACAATAACAACAGCAAGTATGATATTGCATCATATGTACATGTATGCTTCCACTCTCAAACAGGTGTTGGTGAGTGTGTACAGGTACACTATACAATGTACCTGTAGGCTATCTACATGTACATACACAGTGTAGTTAATTGCATTACAGTTTGTCAACAATGGTTACCACTATTTTCAAAGGGCTTTTAACCATTATCTTTGTACCACATGTATCATAAAGTTCTGCATAACTTATTTTATACATGAACATGTACATGAACAGGTTTTAAGGATTGGAGAAACGACTACTGCAATATATTTTATGAGAGGCAAGAATTCATTTCACGAAACAAAAGACGATTCGTTATCATGATGCTTGCATTATCATTTTTCAAAGCATTCAAATACTGATAATTATTTCTTTTTAGACATTTTACTTAAACAAAAATCATGTACCGTGTATGAAAAAGAATGTCTGAAAAGTATGAAAACTGTACTTAAATTCTTCTAACATAATGAACACTTCGACACGCGCACATGTAAACTGGTTCCAGTACATCTTGTTGATTTGCACTGCATGTTACTAGCTGTTCTGATGGGAACCACACTACTGTAGAGCAAGTGCAGATATAAGGCGAGAGTTTTTAAGTTGGTTGGATCCGCCAACCTTCCAGATTCAGAATTGGAAAGAACATAATTTTTTATTTAAATTCTGAGAAGTCTTGCATCTGCCAACCAACAATTTACAGATATATATGTACAAGTTAGTGTAACAAATTTTGGGGGGCCCTGTTGTCTGACCGACGGCAAAGTCCCTGGTTATCAGCTGCTAGCAGCTATGGTGAGAGATACTGCTTTTTCTTTTTTCACTGTGGGAAAAAAACTTGTAGGCCTTTCCTTCCCTCCAACTTGAAGACCATAATTTTGTTTTTGAGACCACAGAAAATACTTTTTGGGGTTCTTTTTCCATTCTCATATAAAATTTGGACTAAAAAAATGTGAAAATTTGACTCGATACTAATTGAACAGTAAAGTATATGTACCAAACAATCAGGAATACTTTGATGCCTGAATATTCTATGCACATTCATCAAGTATTTGAATAAGACAAACATATTTAGAATTCATGATAATGACTCAAAAGTTGAGAAACATACAGGTGAGGGGCGGCGACTATGACATATATTGTTCATGGGTAGATGTGTACACATGTACCATACATATGATTGTCTGTGCGTGCACAGACAGCCATGTAATCCAGCTGCTTATGCATGTACAGGCAAATCAAAGGCAGAAAATCTTGCTTTTCATCACTACGAAAGCAGGGATTTTCACCTTTTCATCAAAATGGAAAATACAGACGCATTAACTCTTGCAGCTCAACTGGCAGAAATCACTTTAAGATCATCTGCACGCAGATGTGCATGTGTAGTTTGCTAGTTTTTATTATTTTCAACAATACTTGCCGACTTACATTACTGACTTCACTTAAATGTATGTATCAATGAGACTCTAGTTCCCACTCAAAAGTGCAAAGTTAGGTCCCATTTAACATCAGGAATAAGTGTAACCGTACTGCATCTTACAAGAGATTTTTAAGCGATGACTCAAAAAGCTCATGTGAAACTTTAATTGATTTCGCAATAGCTATATATCGAACATTTTGTGGGGACATTTTGTGTAGACCAAATCACATTCAGTACAGCTGTGTTGTATTGTACACATATACATGTTCATGTAGAGTACAAACATAATGTACTCGTACATGTACCGGTACATAATGTTGTTGAGGCCTACACCATTCATCTCCCTAAAACATTAGAAAACCAAACAAAAATAATGGGCCAAACGAGCACAAAACAATCAGCATTACTGAGATATGGCAATATGGCAGCAACAATGAGAAAGCAGTAAAGTACATTCATGTACACATACATGTACACTGTGTAAGTAATTGGTATGGGTAATGGTGCATGATGAACACATACAAAGTGTCTAACTTGTCTAATGGTGAAAACAAAGGAACAAGGCAAATACTGGAAAGATATTGTATTCCTCCATTCAAAATATCGAAACATACAAATAAAACTTCAAAAGTACATGTACTAGCCTATGGTAGGTGATATTTTAGTCAGATTTTAATTTTTTATGTTTCCTGATCTACAGTATGTTGGATGATATCTGATCATCCAACAGCGCATTTAGCGCCAATTACAGGATGATAATGAGCAAAGAATACAATGAAGAAATGTTCAGTTTTAGAGGTGGGAGGAAAATTTTGGATAAATGTTTCGGGGAAAACCCACGGACTCAGGTACATGAACGGGCTGAAAAACCCAATCCACATGTGGACCTAGCCAGATTCAAACCCAGATCCCCAGACATGCCAGAGGTGGAAGGCAAGGAAAGAAACTCCACTGTATGTAAACCTGACTCCCCACACCAACCTGACTCCCCAAATGCCCCATAAGCCAATTTGGAAAAATATGTAATTGCACTTACTGTATCCCAAATCTGCAATTTAATCTGTTTGCCATCAATATTGATCATTCGCGCTCCAAATTCAACACCTGTATAAAAATGATACAAACATCACACACACATAAACACTAGAAAACAATCCCATTTTTCAACATACAAGTATAGTTGCCTGATGTAAGGCCACTTCAGGAAATGGATTCTCATGAATTTGAAAAAAAGGTACTTTGTTCATTTGTAAGGTACAGACCAAATTTTAACTAGGCAGAAAGTGTATTCAGACTTGCAATACCATAACATGTATCAATATTAAATGTACAGTGTGAACCTTACATGTTTCCCATTTGGGCTGGACTCTTGCAACCAATCCCCATGTCTATGTACATGTACAGTGTATACATGTCAGAGTTGACAAGCAAACCCTGGATGTGTGAAGACAGGCCACAACAATTATGCAATGTGTGTTCAATGTGATCCCAGAGGCACTGAAGTCAGTCTAACAACTCTGCACTCACTTGTACAGCTTGAATGAATAATCCTTGACCACGTTTCTCTGCCCCATGGACACAAAAAATCTCAAGGGTATATCATGACTTACCTATTGTTAAATCGTGTACAGGCTGAAACCTTTTGTCTGTGAACTGTAAGAGAAGGCATGACTTCCCCACACCTGCAATTAAAGTAAATATTGGGAAGAAATGATGAGCTAATATGGTAAAAAATTCAGTAAATACAGACTTGACACACATAAGGTTTTCAAAACGTTGTATACAATTCCCGAGCAGTATTACCAAGACCACTACACATTCAGATGGGTATACTCAACAAGGCACAGGCTTACCACACTTAAATCAACCCTCACTTTCTCAACATTTTAACGAGAAACCTTCACATCTCCTCAAAATCCACCACTCTGCACAAAGAATGGCAGATTCTTTGTATTCTTTATATGTGCATGTACCCAACAAAAAGCCGAACTGTGATTGGCCACATTTACTTCCATTCCACTGACCAATCATGTTTTACCAATCAGCATTCATTTTGATGGGGTCAGGAAACCAAAAGGAAAAGACATTAGGACTTGTGTTGCGATTGGTCAAGCTATCACACAGCTGACAGTAACTGAGAGTACAAGCTGCTGATTTTCTGCAAAACGGATGGCCAAAATGCTCAAGAATTTCACCATTTTAATGAGGATATAAGGTGAATAAACCTCCCCATCAGACATGTAACTTCACCATGAAGGCATGTATGAAACTTGGTAGCATAAATAGCTGTGATGGAAGTGTACATGTAAGTTGGCACAATCAAAACAGCCAAATTGTGTTTATGGGAGTTTATACGAATGTTGAGCATCTCGTACCTGGGACAACTCATACCTGGGACATGTCATACCCGAAACAACTCATACCGGAGACAACTCGTAACCCAAGAGAAAACTGCATTTATCACAGCTTGTGGTGACATTAAGTCAGAATTATTTTATAGTAGAACATATCAAATCGTCACCATTTTCACAAAAAAGCAAATTTCTCACAAGGCAGTAAATCCTAGGTTTCAAGAAAATTGCATTTGAAGTTGGTATATTTTCGAACTCTAGATCATCGTGATTTGACTGATTTCAGCAGATTTGGTAAAAAACAATTACTGGTACACCACGTTTGGGCAATGCATTAACCTTGACTTTTTTTTCAATTGTATTCCTTTTTTTCAGTGCATAAGCAAAATAATCAGGAAAATGATTAAGCGCCAATTTTCCATAGGATAGTGGTGCAGCATCTTACCATACCACTGATTAGCAGGCACTGGAAAGGGCTTTACTGGGCTTGTTCGTGATTGACATTAATTTCTGAAACTTGACTAGTTCAGAACCACCACTTTGCAGACAGTGAAAAGGGACCTTACTCCCCTAGCCTGTGATTGACACTGATTTTTCTGACTAACCAACTAACCCATTGTTTGGAGATTTTATTTTTATACTAATGGAATCTACACCTCCAAGTCTTTTGACAAGAAAAGTTCAAAATAAAAAGTTTCTAAAATACACGTAGCTGTTTTCTCAAATAAGTCTTTGTTTTCAAGTGGGTGCGCAGTCAACCACCGTCTTAGCTCTCCTGGTAAGTATAACTGGCCGGGCCCAGCCGGCACGGATCACCCCACCTGCCCATAAGCTGTGACCAGTCGCTAGCGTTGCCTGCACAATGGGCTGGGCCATGTATTCACAGAGTAATAGGAGTATTAGTCGGGCCTAGTAGCTGCTCGGCTTGTGGGTTAGGTCGGGTCTGCCGGGCGGGCCGGAGACACAGGGGCAACTTTGATAACGAGCTTTCACAGAATTGCCAAGATAAAGGGTTATTTTTCTCTTTTTAAAATTAAAATCAGACTTTAATGAAAAAATGGGTTTCCTTCAATCTTCCCTAGCTTTTACATGAGAAACTTGTTTCTTTATGAATTTCTTTGTTGAACTAATTGGGTCACCATAATCCTTGATTACCCAATCTCAAAATCAACCAAAATTAACGTGCCGAGTTGGCAAGGTGCCGAAGTGACCAACATTCGGTAGGCCTACCCAAAGCTGGTAAAACTAATAGTTCGCTCAATACAGTACCACTACCTTGCATAATGTGGGTTCTGATGTTGGTGAACATGGTCAGATGGCGATCATGGCAAACCAGGCAATGACTGTTAGATCACTGACGCCGACCCCGATCTGCGCGGATTTAACAGGCCAAAATATACACAAGCCACACTCATGTACTCGGTGGCTATTTTCATGACTTGTATCTTTTACGTAGGCCTATCAACGCTGTAAGTTTGTATACTACATCATGTACTTTCACATGTGTTGATGTACATGTACTGTACAACTACAATGCGTAACATGTATACGTACGCTTTAACGTCTTGTACTAGCAGATTTATACTATTAACACTAAGTAATTACTAGGCCTAGGCTGGCATAAGTGGCAGGCCATGTCTGTGAGGTGTGCAGTAACAATTCAAGCGTACTGTACAGTACTGATGTAGCCTACAGTACGTGTACGTTCATGACGTTACGCTCGAACCACGTCGACAATACTTCGGTGCTTACACATATGTAAAGGCAGCCTATTCCAACACGGAAACTACCACTTTAAATTCTAAATATTACTATAAACATTTTAGACTTGGAAATCTCACCTGTGTCTCCTATAATGATGTATTTGAAGAGATATGCGTACGACATTTTGCCTTTTTTAGTAATGTACAGAGGTAACAATCAATGCAGACGCAGGCCTACACTGACTTCAGTTGGTAGTCTGTTCGTCACAAACATAATACGCCATCCGCAAGTAAAGTGGTGCTGTAGGGCACCACTGAAAGAAACCTGCGATGAGATGTAGGATGATGACGACACCATTACGAGTTGACGTCATTAATTGATTTGCGCAGGCGCTAGGCGAATAACTCTAGGAATAATTTGCAGTATCGTAAACAAAGCACTCAAAAGAGGGCTGTTCAGTGAGGACAAAAGGTATCAGTGTGTTCAGCTACTGAAAATGCGAGTGAAAAAGAGAGACAGAACATTGGCAAGGACGAATCGAGCGCCAGTGAGATCTAAGGGGGAGAGTACGTTTTAAGGCCTAACCAGAGTGATTCAACTACACGAAATCTTCAAGTTTACGGTGAAAATTTCATGCTATATTTTATAAACCTTGTAGAAGAGTACATAATGCAAAAAAACACCACATGGAGACCCAGTCACTGAAGAAGCTACAATCAATTTTGTATTTATTGTACCCAACGAATAATTATTCAATTTTAAAACCACGTCAATTCAATTTACGTTTCCCAGGAAAAAGTCATTTACACTCTTAATAAACTTTTTTACGAGGTCGTGGGTGAAGAATCAATCACACCTGTAGTCTTTAAAGGGAGTATAACACAAACAAACACAAAATGGGGGATATTAGTTGTGATAAAATCACTCAAAAACTCACATGCAAACTATTATTCTTCTATAGTTATCTGTCTTCAAGCGCCATTCTCTATTTTTCTATTCCAAGTTAACCTCATAACTGTAATTATACAATTTCTTGTTTCAATAAATGATTTTAACTTTACTTTATTCAAAACACTTTTTCGTGAACTTAAGCAGAAACACGAAATTTTCTTCTAAACACAGCTACGGACAATAATGAAACGTCATTTCAGAGATCGATTTAAAGTGACTGGATTTTTCTGCAAAAACGAAAATGTCCAGATCAATATTTTCACTCGCAAAGATCATAAGGCTGAATCTAAACTTTCACAAAGAAACATCTTAATTTACGGCAATTCAAAAACAACCAAAAACGAATGCATAGCCTTTACATTAATGCTTGATACTGCAGAGGACATGCATAAAGCGTTTGGTAACTTGAATGAATTACAAATGCTATTCGAAAAACTCACTTTGCAGTATCTTTATTATATGCAACGTTTAATTAAGTAGCAAGAGAGGAGGGCACTTTTTTATCGGTGGTGCTACACAGTGCACCAATGGTGCCACAACTTGCTGGCATTGGAAGAGATGTAATCACTGTTGTTCTCATCTATGAGGAAATCGATGGGGGAAAAAGGTAATATATTAACTTCAATCGCATTTGTATTTTATGTTTGTGCCTGTTTTCTTTTTACATACAAATAGTTTCATCTGTTGAACAATGAACAAAGGAGTTCGAATGGATTTTAGAAATGTAAAATACAAAAACTCCAGCGAATTGCTTATTGAGGGTCGTGTTCAATCTTAGCAGAATTTTCCTCAAGGAGATACATTCTGCTAAGATCGAGGCTTTTTTTCTAGTTAGAGGATATTGATTGTCGGTATGCATGTTCTGTAGCTCTTGTATTGACAGAAGGGATTTCAAAATGCTCGGCTAAAAAAAGAGGCCCAATCGCGGTAAGATTACGTCAAAGCAGCTTGCGAAATACTGGAGCCAGTTCGGAATTAATTCAAAAAGGAAAAGTTTTCCGGGAACAAACTGCGGATGAGGGGGGTTGGGCAGACAACTGCCCGGCGCGCGCGCTGCTTTTTCCGAATGACCGCGAAAGCGTTTTAGTTTCGGTATGTGCTGTTGAAATTCCAGTGGCTCATTACATGATATAAAATGGACGCGGGACGTGCAAAATTAGAAAAAAACTCAACGTAAAAAAAACACAGGGTTGTTTCAAAAAGGTTTTATCACGCAACGTAACACCGGACGGGCAAAGGCATTTTTGTACCAATGTGTCTGTGGGGGCGTGCTTACACATCTGTGTATAATTTCGCCAGAATGTTTAGTATGGTGTACTGTTTACGACAAACATTTCTCCATTTCTCTCTTGCCTCCCGCCAGGCGACGCAACCAGACGACGCGACGGCACTACGGCTCCCTTCTGTCATGCCGTCGGGTCGATCTGTTGCCTCCTTGCCATTTCGTTTGTACACACACTACGCGTCGCGTCGTGCTGTCTTCGGTCCTTTCCTTGATGCATTTTTTTCTGCCTAAACGTCGCCCCTTCCGTCGCTCGTCGCGTCGTGCTGTTGTGCGTCGCGTCTTAGTCGTTTCGTGCATTGCGTCCCCTGAAGCACGACGCGACGCACGACACGACGCACGACGCGACGCATCGTGTGCTTTCGCCCTTAGCTTCATCCAGAGGGCGCCTTTACTGTTTTCTTTCATTTCCTTCCCCGGCCCGTGCTTGCACAGTACATGCCATAGGTACCAGGCCTTGATTCTGTTTTTCTTTTTCATGGATTCTTTCTAACTTTGTGTGTTCATTAAAAGTGAGTTGTTGAAGAAAACGCTTTCCCTTTTTTTTAAAAATCAAATGTAATCAGAAAGAGCTTCGCGTCTAATCAGCATTGTTTTAGCTTTTCCTGATCTAATTATGATTTTTCTAATAATTATTGTAAATCCATTTTAAGATACAATACATCAATCATTATTACGTGGTTGCAAAAATGTAACATGCAGATCTGATGAGAAATTAGGCGCGAGGCCAAACAGAGAGGAAGAAACGACACCATGGTAGTAGGATCTACAGTGTTTTATGAAGAAACACGGACTAATATCATTCAAGTTGAAAGTGTGGTGCTGATGAAGTTAACGAGGAAGACTAAACTGAAGGAAGACTGAATATTC